TTAAATGATATTGAAATGTAGAAAACAAAGGACAAATAAGGAGAGATTGAGAGATTGATATCACTTAGCAAATATGGATGGAGGAAAATTCAATCGGCAATAATGGAGTGGATCAGGCCGGAACATGGTAAATAAATCGGCTGCTAAACAAAGCATGACCCTCGATCTGCCTATTTCTTGTCCACTTGGGAATTATCTAGATAAACAAAGCGAAATTAACCCACACGCATGTAACATTTGTGATGGTGTGACTCTTGCCATTTTCTTTGTATGTATAAATGTTATAAACGCAACCTACGCCAGGCAATGCCCTCCTCGGCTCTGCCTGCTTTCTTCCTTTTCAATTCGGACCCACTTCAGCTAGGCAGGAGAATGGGACTGCTCACCGGTGTCGCCCACACTAGATGTTGCCAAAGTTGGAAAGCATGCGTATCCGATTGAGCCGCCATTAATATCTTCTAAATCATGGATTATAACTTTATAAGAATCCGAAAAAGAATGAATTGTTGATATGAAAAAGACGAGGATAAATCATATTTAGACAAGAAAAGCGAACTAAACTCAATAATTGTCATTCTTTAATATGTTTGGGTAGTAAAAAACAACATTATGGAAGGTAGGGAGTAATGGGAGGAAGAGGAAAATGTTCAATCCAAGATTTTTTTATATTCTTCGTAGGAAATATCGTTAGCTAGCTAGCTAATAATTAAACATAGTTGTGATTAAATTACTTAACCTTTTTCTTCTCATAAATCATAGGACTCTTTTGAATGGGATTCTTTTTTTCTTTTTCTTTTTTTTTTTTTTGCAATAAAATGTTTGTAATGAGAGGAGTTTATTTCTGTGTTAATCAAAGTCAAGCCATACCCCTACTCTCAACGAGCATTTACAAATGTTTAATAGGGGAATTATATAAAAGAATAGTGTTTATCCATTTTAGTTTATAAAGATTAAGGAAAAAATTATCTAAAATTATATCATTTAAATAAATTTTTACTAAAAAAAAAAACTAAAATACCATATTTTTAAAACATGAATTAGAATATTTTTAGTTCTTGATATTTTATTGAAATGATATAATTTTAAAATTATTTTCTCCTAACTTTTAAGAGGTAAAGTAAATAAACACAAATTTTATTATATAATTTGATTATTAGTGGTTTGAGATAACTAACAAAATTAAAGACTTCAAGTTTTTAAATACGCACATAATATATTTGTCATTTAACATAAATAAACAATAATTGATATACTTTTTGATTCAATATTATATGTGAGTGATATATATTAAAATACGAGAGATGATTATTTTTTACAATACAATTCGAAATTAAAAAATTAAAAACAACTTGACGCAATCTCTATTGGTCTACGTGGCAGGTCCGGTGGGCCCATTACGGCAATATTTTTATTATCTGGACACTGTCCAACCAGATGGTTGAATGGAGAACAGTCAGGTAGACCGCGGGCCCCCCGTTAAGCCATCGGTTTGGGCTGCTTCCCATGTAAAGCCTAACGAGCACGGGTCGGGTCAGTACAAACCAAACTACTCGTTTTTACTACTTTTTATTTTAAGATTTGTCTAACATATTAAAAAAAATTTTAATGTAATTTTAATATATTAATTTATATTAAAAAATAGAAATAAAAATTTATTTTAATTTCTTTGATATATGAATATTTTATATTAAATAATTAATAAATATTGATAATAAAAAAATATAATAAATACACCTTCATTTTAAAGGGAAAAACCAACCAGGTGCCAGACAAGTGACTTAGGATGCGTTTTGGGATTGTAATTGAGAGTGTTTTTTTTGTAGTTATATAACGTTTTTAAATATATATGTGTTTGATAATTTTTTTTTAAATTAATTTTTTTTAAAATTGTAGAAAGTCATAGTAAAATTATAATAATTTTAAATATAAAATCAAAAATCTTATTTTTTAATTTTATAATTGTAGTTTTTATCGAAAACATTTAATATTTAATATAATTAAAAAATTATCCATTAAAAC